TTGATGTGGCGGGGAAAAGATTGTGGATAGGAGAATCACACGTTGGGACTCCGAACGAAGTAACTTTTGTTTATGTAGTGGAGATGGACAATAAATAGAGAAGTCCTTCGCCATCCTAGTATGCTTTAGATCAGGACGATAAAAGTTAGAGGGTTTAGTAGTTTACTTATTGAAGCCCTGGTTACGAAATCCGCTGAGTGCCAAAGAGACATAGAGGAAGAAAAAGCAAGCTTTTAGAAAAGGCGGCGCATAAATGAGTAGTCTTATTCTTAATCCAATGAGATATATCAGTCAGCATAACCACCACAATGTGTCTTAACTTATTAAAGTAGACCTTTTTATGTATTTGGCTGGCTAGCAGATTATCCCTTTCTCCAAGCAGAATGTAAAGGCAAATCCCTCACGACTTATTTTTCAATGGTTTTCAAGACTACCAGTAAATCCTGTATAAGAGATTTATTCGCCCTATTTCGTTAGGGTGATAAAGGGCTATTAGTCGATTTATTTCACAATGATATAGAAGGCCTTATATTTTCATTGAGTCTCACATAGCCTTGTTGTTCGGGCCCTGCTAGGGGGTGCTGATGAGACCTAGGCAAGGTCGAAACTACCGTCCAGCTTGGGTGAGAATACCTTTTGTGAAGCAAGGCTATGTAAAATTCAATATAAACGTAAGCTCTAGTGATATTATTGTGGTAAAATTCAACTATCAGTCCTTTATCACCTTATGGGTAAATAAATTTCAAATAAATTCCGTCATGATTTTATGGTCCAGTAGGAATCCGTTTAATGAACTAGAATCAAAGCTCCATAAGTCGCCTTAAAGTTTCAGACCCTGATTATCGAGTTGATTAGCATAAACAACAAGACACGGATGCGTAACGAAGGAGCCAATAGTAATAATGTATATTCTCAGCTCAATCTGCCAAAACCGACCTTAAGAATAAAAAGAAATAGAGACATGATCTTAAAGTATATGCGTGGACAAGGTTACCATTTTTCTAATATTCTGATTTAAGTTCGGCTCAGAGTTTATAGAAAATTAATCAATCGCCTCGAACAAATCGAGGACTCACATCATGCTACTCTGGCGATCACATAACCAAGGCTCAATATAAAGAAAATGACGGTGCAACATATATGCTTGATGTAACTTTGGAGGATCCTACCTTGTCTCATAGACTAACTCAATTTTCCACCTTCATCAACAAAGTTTCCGAGACCCTTTACTTGTCATAACTATCTTCTGGGGATCAGTATCGTTGACATTTTTGATTCCGCCTCGATTATGGACTCGTTTATACAGTTAAAGCATTGGCGTTAATCTTATATGAGGAACCTCAATAGCGCCAGTAAAGCGATTTCGTTACCAGAATGTTCAATATAGGTGAAGCCCACCTGTGTCCTCTGACTTCTGTTGTTGACCAAGCTGACTAAGCTGATCAGCTGTAACCAATTGGCCGTAGATGGCGATCCCAGGGGCAGGCGCTATGCAGAGACTATCCGCTTGTCCAGTTGACCCCAACACAGTAGTCGGCTGCTGTCCAGCAGCAGCTGTGATGGAAGGCGAAGTGGCTCTTTGAGAGGAAATGATGGAGGAAGATTGAGACACTTGTGCAGGATGCGAAAACTGCTGATGCTGATGTTGGTTTGTGTGATTCTGATTGTGTATTAATTCACTGAGTCGACGGCCCCCGGAACAATTTGCATTTGATGAATGTCCGACGACCATGTGGAGCCGAGGACCTGTCAACTGGATGCCAGAAAGCAAAGAGCTAGTCGTTTCTATTAGACCTGAGGCCTGGCCACCAGAAGTTGAGCCAGGAGCTAAGACGGCCTGTGAACCAAATCCTAGTCCGGAGGGCAGGGGAATGGACGGAAGATTGGTGTGAGGAAGCATGAGGAGCCGGGAGAAAGTGTTACCAGTGCTTGCAGTTGTAGAAGGAGGCGCAATGGAGAGTGTGGGGCTACCGAGACGGGCTGAAGGAGACCTAGATAGTTTTGCCTCGCAAACAGGCCCTCTCGAGAAGCCGGATTCCGGGGGGCCTGAAGAGGCCACCTGATCTGATTGAGAAACAGAGAATAGTTTAAAGAATTTATAAAGAGGTAAAATAAGCGAAAAAAGAGATGACGAAGAGTTAGATATCAAATTGTCCACTATCTGGAAAAACTCACTAAAGAAAACAGACAATGAGGTTGACCTTAGCCTTGTTGACTTTATGCCTCCAGTATGATGTTAGAGGAGAATTCAAATTAAAGTCTTCAGAGTT